TATTTGGCGGCAGTTTTGTCGGCAAATATGACGCGCACCCACTCCTTCACCAGATCCAGGTTGTGGTCCAATACCATGAGCTTGAGTTTGTCGGGTCCCCAACCACTGGCCTCTAACTCAGGTCCCAGTGTTTTAGCGACAAAGTCCCGGGTGGTCTCAGCCGTGTACCTCATGGAGTTCCAGCTCTGGGAGGCCATAGGTTCATTTTGGACAGTTATGCCCCAATGGGTTATGTTGTGGGCTTTGTATGCTTCTAGGTAACTATTAGATAAAAATGTGTAATTTATGATTAATAGCTAGATCATTCTAGAAACAAATTGAATAAAAATCTCAAATAATTAAGCAAGCTTTCTATAATAATAATTAATAAGTGCAAAATAATAACAATAACAATATTAAACTAAATTATGTATTGTACCTTATTTAAAATTAATAAAAATTTCAAAATATTTTTATAATTAAAATATAAATTTTAAAACTTGTTTTGGTTTTTGGTTTAGCATTTTAAATTTTCAATATTATTTATCCACTGTTTAAGGCTTAAACATTAAGTGCATATTAACTAATTATGTATTTCATATAATGTTGATAGGTAAGTTATGCTGTAGCAATACTAGTTCAAGTCATATACCTACGGCGTCTGAGTTGACAAATGTACTGTATGTGGGAAAGTGGGAAAAAGCTGCTACTATTATCTGCTCTTGAGTGTAGTGTATCATTTACCCCGGTAGTCTAAAGCCATTGTATTTTTATTAATAACTATCAAATTAAAGTTTGTTAAATTTTAAAATTTTAAAAAATGTTTTAAGTTTTGTGTCACTTATATACTGGAAAAGACTTTAAACATGTTTTAATTTGCTAGTTATTATTGAAAATACAATGGCATTAAAACACCTGGGTAATTGATACACTGTATTCAAGAGCACAGGCAATAGTAGGAGCCTTTCCCTCCTTCCCCATATACCGTACATCAAATTTTGTGCGCTCAGATGGCGTAGATGTATGGTACAAGTGACACCTACCGTACAAAATACTTGGCATAAATCTGCCAGTACTCGGAGCCTACCGGTCCTTTAATTGTGCCGCCATTTATCAAATCGTTGTTAGTTTTCATCCATTTCGGGGCAGACCAGGGGCTCCCAAACACCCGGATATCATGAGTGGCCATGGATTTTGCTTTCAATATCAATGGTATCTATAAAATGTATTTATAAAATATAAAAATACATTATTATTAGTATTAAAGTACATTGTTAGATTATTATCAAGAACGCTCAAATAGATTTTCTATTATCAGGGAACTTACAGCTATATTATAGAAAGTGATAGTTGTATAACCTAAATTAATTTTTGTTACTAGCCTAATAATAAAAATAGGTTACTATTAACTATCAAGGTTAATTAGGTTAAAATTTCGTAAAAACATTTATTATTATAACATTTTCAATTAACTATTAGAATCAGTATGAAGTTTATTTTTTAAAATAAACATACTTGCACAATTATTAATTACACACTTACTTTATCCTCAAGATCCTCGCTGGTGAGATTAAACTTAGACAGTGTCTTATCCTCGCCACCATCATCCAGCTCGTATGGATGGGTAGAAAAGTCCGACCCGCCAATGGGTATCCTACCCACGCTATATTCAATACCGTCCTTGCTGAAATAATCCCTCAGTATCTGATCCCCCAATTTATCCCCGGCTTTGCGTATATTAATACCGGTCGAGTCGGTAAAAGCACCGCCAAATCCAAACACCTCCTGGTGCTTGACATCCTGGTTCACCTTAACGTGCAACTGCTCGGCCCCGACCCTACTGTCCCCTTCGGGTTGTTTACCGAAATGAAGGGTAGACTTGCGTAGTCGTGCCCCGTCACGGCCCGACTGATA